CCTGTACCCTCTCCACAGACCACGTGCATTCACACACACACACACACATACACACACACACACACACACACACACACACACATAAATTTTTAAAAATTAAAATTAAAAAGGTATATAACAATTGTAAAACAATATTACTTTTGTTTTGTAAAATGTAACTACTTCTGTTACCATAAAATGGCTTTGCTATACTTAAAATTAGTTTTTAAGCATGTACATTGTTTCTTGGTTTTAATTTTAATATGGTTACTGTAGCTGGCTGTAACACATGCACACACTGATCTTTGGACTCCTCCAAAATTGTTAATTGTATATGAAAGTCTTCACGTTAAGTTTAAAAATTGCTGACGTACAAGACTAGTTGTAGAAAGACTTGTGAACTAGGGAGGGGGTCTTGGGCTTTATTCTGGGGGTGCTTTGGTCAGTGGCTAAGAATGGAAATTTGCTTTAATTAAGGTACTTGGGATGTGAAAGTGACATTTCTGTCCCTCTGCAGTGCTACTTTTTCACAGTGGAGTTTGGACTGTGTAAACAAGATGGTCAGCTGAGAGTATTTGGCGCCGGTTTGCTTTCTTCTGTCAGTGAGCTCAAAGTAAGAGTTCTCAGTCTTTCCACATAACTGTATTCACTAATACCGTCAACACAACCTGAAATTGTTTTTGTGTTTGAGCAAGAGCAACTTAGGGGCAACTTAGGGCCCTCCTTATGGTAGATATTTAGGGCGGCATTAAACATTTGAAGACATTTTTCTGTAGTCCTCAAACTTTCTTGAGAAAAAAACAAAACAAAACTACATGTCTTTTAAATAGAAAGTGTTTTAAAGCTTTTGCTCACAAGGTCATGCTGTCTTCACTGTTTCTGGGATAAAAGCAATAACTTGTATAACTAAGAAATAGTAAGAAGTTGAGATTTAGTTATCCAATGAATGAACGAGTTCTGTTGAGTGGTAACAGGTCTACAAAATTCTGTCCAAGTTACTTTCTTGTTCTCAAGGAGCCTGCTCTGTTCTGGTGGGTGTAAGTCAAGGATAGCAGTTACTAGTGTCTGCTAGACAACAGGTGCCAAAATACAGAAGCAAATAAAGGTCCTTGGATGCCTTGAGTGGGGAGAAGATAGAATGAAACCACAGAAATAGTCTTGAGGGGGAGAGCAAGTCATTTGCTTTGCCAGAGCAGACCATGGATTAAAGAGAGATGCAGGAATTAGTTTGGGGTTGTAGGCTGGGGCCCTGGCATAATTCAGCTCAGAAGGGTGTCAGTACTGGCAGTTGTGTGTTTTATGAAGGCTGACCAAAGTCTTTGATCAAGTCTTTGTCCTCCAGCATGCGCTTTCTGGATATGCCAAAGTAAAGCCGTTTGATCCTAAGATTGCCTGTAAGCAAGAATGTCTCATCACAACTTTCCAGGATGTCTACTTTGTGTCTGAGAGCTTTGAAGATGCAAAGGAGAAGATGAGGTAAAGTCCCTCTTCCTCATGTGTTCAATCTGCTGCATAAGTTATGTCAAAGATATAACAAGTCACAAAATATAACTACTAGGGGATTGGGAGCCCTCCCAGAGCCTTCAGCCTAGAATACACCCATATTTAGAGTAGATTGTATAGAATCATGTTAAGTATTTGCAGATGGGAATGGGATACACTGAGAAATGGTTTCTTCCCATCAGTTTATAGTTCAGTAGAAAAAGAAACAGTATGCAAGTTACTGACACTATGGAAATGGACAAGAATAGAGATGGAGATGCAATGTTGTTCCAAAGGCAATTCCTTCCAGCTGGGGTGTCACAGAAAGTTTAAATGCAAGTGAGAAAGGACACCAAGACTAGCTAGAATTCGTCTGCTAAATTTAGGCTGAGACACAGTCTGGAAAGAGACAAGAAGATTTGGAAAGGCAAAGAAAATATTTAAATGCAGACCAGTTCTGACTGGTCATCAGCTAAGCAGTTAAGAGAAGAGAACTGGAGGCAAGACACTTTCTAGCACATTCTTGCAAACTTCGGGTGAAAATAAAAGCCTGGACTAAGACAGAGGAAGTGGGAAGGAAGTGACTATGGAAGCAGAATCAAGAAAACAGCATTTGGTAGCAGAAGTCACAAGGCCGCTCTGAGGACAGGGGCCGATGGAGGTTGAAGATAATTGCTTTGCTTCCAGGAACTTAATATGTGCAGAGCCAAATAGCAATAGCCACCGGACTTTGTGTAGTATATATGGGCCCTTGTGCAATGCTGAGGTGGGCTCCACTGGGGAAACAGATGCATGGAAACCTGGACCCCAGTCCCCGTGCATGTACAAATGCTCTCAGATGCACAGTTGGCCTCAGGGGTCCTGAGTGTGACTGCTCTGGAGGGTACCAAGCAAGAGGTTTGGATGCTGGCTTGATAAAGGAGGTGGAACTCTAAAGCTTGAGGAGAATTGAAGTCCATTGAGAGGAGGCTAGAAAGAATTCTAAGCAGAAGAATGACACGTATCAGAGGGCAGGACTCTTCCTGCCCGTTTTTTACTCCCTGCCCTCTTATTAAGTAAGGTACAGCCGAGTAGTCTATTGCTGTGGGTTCAGTACTTGTAGATAAAGGTACTGTGGTTGGTGCCTTTAGTGACATCAAGAAGTCAAGAGATGGGCTGGGGTTTCGTGCGGTTAATTCCCAGCACTGAAGAGAGACGAGGAGGATGATGAGGATGATGAGGATGAGGAGGATAAGGAGGATGCGGAGGATGAGGAGGATGCGGAGGATGAGGAGGAGGACGAGGAGCTCCCCCACTGAGCCACAGTAGAATTTGTGGTGTGAGGTGGAGGCTATCAGGATAGGGGAAGCAGGAGGTGGGGTCCAGTCTTCTATCGTGTATTTAGTTTCTGTCACTCACCCTCGTAGAAATTAACAATCTCTTACTTGCTTTTTTAAATAGAGAATTTACCAAAACAGTGAAACGCCCATTTGGAGTGAAGTATAATCCATACACACAGAGCATTCAGGTCCTGAAAGACGTCAAGGACACAGCCAGTGTGGTGAATGACCTGGGGCAGGATCTAGACTCCAGTGACGCCCTTGCCAAGGCCAGCAGGCCCCCAAGAGTGTGAGGGTGCACCTGTAAGTCGGAGAGCAGCTGAGCATCAGTTGAAAGCTGGGCTCTGCTCTCCCCGAGACCTGCTTGAGGAGGGACAGCAACTTCCAGTGAAACCATCTTCTCTAATCTCTCCCCATGACCAATCCCTCATCTTTGAACATGTGTACTCGGAAGCTCACACCACTGCTCATTTTCTAGTTCGTTTTGTTTTTGGCACCTGGTTAGAGAAATATAATTCACATACCATGTATCGCAATGAACTTCCATTTTTAATGGAAACACTGTTTGACCCACTGGGTAGAACTAGTCTCCTCCTGATGCGGTTTCCCTCAGTCCTTCGTTAGTGAATGATGATCACTGTGCATGCCTCGATGAGTGTGATGACCTGTACTGTTGCCTGAATACCCAGCACAATCATGTTGACACACCTAACCTTAAAGGAGACCTGCCATCCCCAGTGCCAGTGTGCACAGTAGAGGGCTTTGACCCTAGAGCAGGGAGGACGAGCAGATATGCTTCAGGGGTAAAGTCTTAGAGGGACGTAAAAGGAACTGAGTTTCAGCCAGTTGCAGTGGTACACGCCTGTAATCCCAGCATTCCTGAGGCTGAGGCAGGAGGACAGAGAGTTTGAAGCCAACCCAGGACTTACCTGAGACTTTGTCTTAAAAAAGGTAGCTATGCTAGATGTTATGACTCACACCTATAATCCCAGCACTTGGGAGCCTGAGGCAGGAGAATTGCCATGATTTCAAGACCTGCCTGGGCTACATTTCTCCAAGCTAGCCTGACCCACACTTCCTTTTGGAGACACTGGAAGAGTTTTCTTGAGTAATCAACCTCCTTGAATCTGTCTTCCACACTGCCTCACAGTGCCTCTGTTTAGATTATTTATCCCACTCTTCAGACCAAGGGGAACTCAGTGGGTGTGCCACTCACAGGATCCTGCACCAAGATACAGTCTCAGGTAGCACATTGGTAGTCTGCAGGCAGTAGCAGGCATTGTTGTGTAGGAAAGCGGTAAACTGAGGCAGATGAGAGAAGCACAAAGTTAAAGTTACAAAATCAACTCTCAGCACTTTATTTCACGGTGTCATGTGAGAATGTGAATTAGAAGGCACTGAGGGGAGGGGGAGGGGAAAGGGAGGAAATGGATTATCAGAAAGGCCAGGAAGAGCAGTGTTTTGGGGGATATGTATGTGGTGTCAGCAATGTGGCACTGGTGTAAACAGTTGGGAGAGCTTTTCATTACTGTAACAAAATGCCAGAGATAATCAATTTATAAAGAAGAAAAGTTTGTTTTGACTCTCAGGTTTGGATGCTTTGGTCCATGGGAAGGTGGTTATGTGGTTTAGGCCTGCATGTCATGGAGTATGTGGCAGAACAAAACCATCCACTTCAGAGAGAGAGAGAGAGAGAGGAGAGAGAGAGAGAGAAGCACAAATGAGCTCGAGTCCTATAATCCAGTTTAAGAATGGCAGGATGATCTCCTCCTAGGCCCCAACTCTTAAAGTTCTCACTGTCTCCTGATAGTGCCTAGATGAGGACTGAGTCTTAAATTCAGGAGCCTTTGGGCCTCTGAGGAACACCCTGAATCCTGATCACAGCAGCACCAGATCCACGCACCTCTGTAGTCTGCATCCCTCCTCCCTCATCCTTGCTCATGCTCCTTAAGTTTCTGTGTTTTCTCTGTGCCGTCTCTTCGTGGGGATTGACAGCCACAGCCACGGCTTCATTCTTTTTTTTGAATGACTCCTACCTTTTCAGTTTTAACCGTACACCTTTCTCAGATTGTTGACTTTGAACTCCAGCTGCCTGCTGGGATTCCAAGCTAGATGTCCTGTGAATGAGGCAAATGTACAATTTCATGTGGCACTGTTCACGTTGGATGAAGTAGATTGCGCAGGGGGCAGCCCTACCAACTGCCTTCAGTTCAACAGGTCCAAAGAGGAACTTGCATCAGCAGAATATCACATCCCAGTGGCTTCCCAGGGACCTAATGTCTGTTCATGGCAAAGGAAGCATCACTTTGTAAAAAGTAAAGCTGCTTTCCCAGGTTTAATCATACTTTAAAACTTCTGCCCCTATTTTTCACATGAATAGTCAAATTATATATCATTGAACATGCTTTATTTCAAGCCCATTAGATTTTGAAAACTATTTTAAGACTTCAAAAGAAACTATAAAAACTTTAAAAACAGTATTTCATTCCATGTTATACAAGGATACCAGATCTTTATAAACTCATACAGTTTAAAAGCTAACAGCTCTTGTGTCTACTTCTAACAGTAAGTAGATGTGTCAGCTTATTTGAAGTCATTTGAAATACTGACAAGCTAGTTTATAGTCCTCTTGGCCACAAGGAAACACTGTAAAGCAATCATGATGGAAGGCAAACAGAGACCTCCATTTACTGCGTCTGGTTATTGTCATAAAACTTCTGTCATGGTGAAGAATCACAGTTATTGAATTTAAAATGGTGCCTTTAAAAATCATTCTGAATAAAAGTACTTTAAAATAAATATTCAAGGCACAACCCTATAATTCATAACCATGGCAATGGAAAGATTTGCTGATGGATTTCATTTTTTCTAACCTCTGGATTTGTGGTATTTAGTAAATCAGGAGTTCCGAAAGTCTTAAATTTTCATACATTTTAAACACATGCCTTCAGAACATCCTAGAATTTGTTAATGACTCACACAGAAGGACGGAATGGAATCAAAAGCACATCTGTAGTTCTTTACCAGCAAGTCATCCCTCAAAGACAGTGTCATGCTCAACTTTTTGAAGTGCGAAAGCTAGTCTTCAGAATGCCTACATTTCTCTTTTTAAATTTTTAGATCTTTATTTTATGTGTATGAGTGTATTGCCTGCATGTATGTAAGTGCACCTGTGTTGTGCAGTGCCCTCGGAGGTCAGAAGAAGGTGTCTGATTCCCCTGGAACTGGAGTTATGGATGGTTGTTAGCTGCCGTGTGGGTGCTGGGAATCAAACCTGGGTCCTCTGCAAGAACAGTCAGTGCTCTTAACTGCTGAGCCATCTCTCCAGCCCCAGAATGCCTACATTTCTTTAAAAATTTATTTATTTATTTATTTTTATTTTATGTGTATGAGTGTTTTGCCTGCTTGTATGTAAGTGCACCATGTGTGTACAATGCCTGAGGAGATCAGAAGTGGGTGTTATATCCCCTGGAACTAGAGTTACACACACGGTTGTTAGTTATGTGGATGCTGGGAACTGAATCTGAGTCCTCTGTAAGAGCAGCCAGTGCTCTTAACTGCTGAGTCATCTCTCCAACCCCCAAAATGCATACATTTCTTAATCCCATAGTTTGTCATTTGGAGTTACATAAGTAGTAATGATACAGAAAAATGTACAGAATTAGCGATAATTTATAAATTGGCTTCCAAACAGAGAGAGCAAAAAGCCAGGAGTTCTCAAAAAGAATATATAACAGAGACTGATTCCTTATCAATTTGACACACAAACACATCATTATTAAACTCTAACCCTTCCACTTCATGTCCTGAAGCTCTCATGTTAACATCACAATATAAAACAGTGCAACTTTTAAAGTCTCACTGTTTTTACACAAAAATTCAACTCTCTTTTAAAAGTCTGCTAACTGTAGGCTCCTGTAAAATCTCAAACAAGTTACATACTGTCTTATTTCAAGAGGGAAGAGCCAGGGCGCACTTAAATCCAAAATCCAGCAGCATAGCTCAATGTCTGAACCTGGGGTTCACTCATGATCTTCTGGGCTCCAAAAGCTCAGGCAGTTCCACTTCTCTGCCATCTATAGCACACACATCTTGTCTCATAGACTTAGGCCAGTGGGCTTAGGCCAGCTCTCTCCACACCTGTCACTGCTGGTGGTGATTGTCCCACAATCCTGGCATCTCCAATATACTGGGGTCTGTGCTTCAGCTGAAGCTGCACCTTCACCAATGGACTCTCTTTACTTTTCACAGTGCAAAGCCTCAGCTGTTTTCCAGGACCCCTTCAGTCCTGCCCAAACCAGTACCACATGGGAGACCCTTACACATTACCAAGTTTAGCTCTGAGATGCAGCTTCCCCCCACCCCTGCGGACCATAACATCTGTGTGCTGACCCTGAGGAACTAATTCCTAGAAGACTTAGCCTCAACAATGCTGGTCTCTTCTTAGTCACAGCTGATTCTTCAGCCCCAGCTGACCAGAAACCACAACTTCTTAATTCAAAGTAACACATGAAGGGCCCACACAGAGTATTTGTTTCCCTCTGAAACTTTACAAGCCAGGTCTCCACTGTCTACATATTTCTCCCCATTTCTATCTTCCAAGCACCCAGAGCAGCTCATTAGGTTCTGAGCACTCAACAGTCTTTCCAGCCCAAAGTTCCAAATGCTTCTGCAGTCCTCCCAAAACAACACGGTCAGGCCCATCACAGCCATACCCCACTCCTGACACCTGTATTAAATTTGGTTTCTCCATTGTTGTCATAAACACCATGACCAAAAGAGAGCAACTTGGGGAGGGAAGGGTTTATTCCAGCTTACAGGTTATAGCCCATCATTGTAGGAAGCTGGAGCAGCAGCTCAAGGCAGGAACCCGGAGGCAGGAACTGAAGCATAGACCATGGAGGAACACTGCTTGCTGGCTTGTGCTCAGCCTGCTTTCTTATACACTGAGGACCATCTGCCCAGGAGTAGCACCACCCACAGTGGGCTGTGCCCTCCCACATCACTCAACAATCAAGAAAACGCCTCACAGATACTTCAACAGGCCAGTCCTATAGAGGAAATTCCCCAGTTAAGATTCCCTCTTCCCTCTTCAGTTGACAACTGAAGTTATTCAGCATAGCGATAATTTATTAATGTCTAGGAAGTGGAGTTTTTGTCTCATTGTGTCATATGCATTTACAATGTAAAACTTTGTTACTCTTCTGGATAATAAAAATTCAAGTTCTCAAAAAAGTGTTTTGTTTTGTTTTTTTTACATGTTTTATTTCCTCCCCTCTCTCCCTCCCCCCCT